ACTCCCTCTTCATGGGTACAATTTGTTTGTGAATTTCTTGTTTTAAGTAACCGTTAAATCTATGGAAATTAGGTTAACTGAGTTCAGGAATGTGGGCTTGGTTGGGAATTCCTCTTACGACCATATTAAGATGAATTCAAAAGTCTTCATTTTTCTAAATTGGTTACTCTAATTGATTTGTGAGTTGTAAGCAGATGTGAAAGGTTCGGTTTAAAAGGGCTGTGAGTACAGTCAACAAACCATTCATAAACCAATATTAACAGAACAGGGAAAAGAATGTCCTTCCCCTCAATATTGGACCATCTCATCTTTGACCTCTGAGGTTCCTGCCCATGATATTTTTTTTTAAGCTTTTATTGAATTTACAGAGAGAAGAACAGAGAGGGGGAGAGAAAGCAGCACCAGTGATGAGAGTCATCAATCGGCTGCCTCCTGCACGCCCCCTACTGGGGAGCAAGCCCACAACCTGGGCATGTGCCCTGACTGGGAATCAAACCGCAACCTCCTGGTTCAAAGGTCGGCGCTCAACCACTGAGCCACCCCAACAGGGCGAAGCTTCTTGAATAGATCTCATGAGGTTAAACATTACGTTGCTATTTCCGGCCATTTCCAGAAAAACTAATTTGCGTACGGTTTATCAGATTATCAGAGAAATACAGAGACATTGAAAAAAAAAAATCTGTTGATGGGACAAAGAGGGCTGTTGATAATTTTTTCCCACANTCGTTGCTATTTCCGGCCATTTCCAGAAAAACTAATTTGCATACGGTTTATCAGATTATCAGAGAAATACAGAGACACTGAAAAAATAAAAAATCTGTTGATGGGACAAAGAGGGCTGTTGATAATTTTTTCCCACAAGTTTGTGAGCATTCTTCCTTGTCTGGGTAGTTTTATTATTTATAGAAATTAAGTCATCTCAGGATTTGAAAAACATGTTAAACTTTTCCTAAATCATGAGCTGGGCCAAATGCAGTCTGTAAAGATCTGATAGGGAAATCCATGGAGCTGGAGGTGACTAGAGAGCTGAGAAGGTCTCAGGAGCCTGTTCTGAATGGGTGTGAGGTCTCACCTACTATGTTTACCTTCACTGTGGGGCTGAAACGTCACTGTCTTCTTGGTTCAGGACGACAAAGAGCCACATTCAGAACGTGTGTGTGTGGGGGGGNGCTGTGAGATCTCACCTACTATGTTTGCCTTCACTGTGGGGCTGAAACGTCACTGTCTTCTTGGTTCAGGATGACAAAGAGCCACATTCAGAACGTGTGTGTGTGGGGGGGGGGGGCATGAGCCTAGTCTTTTATTAAAAGATCCAACTTGAGCACTGGCTGGGTAGCTCAGTTGGTTGGAGCATCGTCCCTCACACCGAAAGGTTGTGGGTNCATTGTAGCCTGTGTCCAAGCTCCACTCTTTTTCATGGCTGTGTAATATTCCTCTGTGTGGTCATTTTCATGGCTGTGTAATATTCCTCTCTGCAGACAGATCACATTTTGTTTATCCTTGAATCTGCTGATTGACATTTGCGTTGTGTTCACCTTTGTCAGTTGTGCTGGGATGACCATCTTTCTACCTGCCCTTGACCACCCGTTTCCAATTCTTCTGGGCATATGCTCAGGACCAGCATTGCAGGGATCCTGTCCCCTGCCTTAGGACTCAAACTTCAGTGAACTCTGTGGCTTCCCTGTGTCTACTGCTTCTCACTCAATCTCCTCGGGTACTGAACTTTAGGGTCACTGAAAATTTCACCAAATTCAAGGTGCTCCTTACGTTTCAGTCTGGACGGAGCAGGTCCAGAAGGCTTCCCAGATTTTCTTTTGCAAAAGGCGGGTGCCCCTCAGACTGGTGAGGGGCACCTGCCTTTCAAAGGAGTCCTGTTTTTCTGAAAGTTTGAGATGGGACTCTGTATCCAGCCCCACGATGCTCACCGAGAGCTGTGAGGTGCAGGAACGTCTCACAAGTTCAGAGAAACGCCGAGGACCACAGTTCCCAGGCCCCTCCTTCAATGGAAACCACGACCCCCACGAAAACCCAGGTCCCACTGTCCCTTTCCAGCAGCTGCCTGTCACCAGCCTTGGCTCTTGCTCTGCATTAGGGGAACGTCTAGACCCTGGGAAATGCCCTGAGCAATAACCAGCCCCCAGGCTGCCGGAACGGCGTCAATATTAACCATCCCTGCTGCTCACGCCCCGCGTAATATTTCTTCGGAAAATGATGCGTTTTGAAAAGATGATTGTGAGCCGGAGGAGGGAAGCCTTTGGCAGGTGTTCATGAGCCGAGCTGAGGAGCTGGGGCCTCTCCATGAAGTTCAGCCGGCACATGGAGCGGCCACCTTGCCTTTCCTTTTCTCCCCAAAACGCTGGCTCCCCCCGACCTTTCACAGCTGGGACCTGCTACGGGGACAGTCTTGCGACTGCCTTCATCCGGGTTCCCCTGAGCACCCGCCTCAGCCCCCAAGAAATGCCGTTCCTCCAGGCTGGCGGCAAAGGACAGGAGCTGTGACTCAGCCCTTTGGGTGCCTCCGCGTCCCCCCATGTCAGAGCTGGGGGACAGCGACTCATTTCAGCACACGGAGGGCCGCAGGCCTTGCTCCCGGACGGAGCCACGAAGGGGAAGCAGGGGCTTCGGAGGGCCTGGGGACCCTGGAATTGTTTTGCAGTCGGAGGGCAAAGAAAAATTTAAAAAACCGACACCGTTTCCCACAGCGCCGACGAACTCGGGGTTAAATCCAAACAGCAACGCCTCTTTAAACGCGGGGCGAGCGCGGGCCGAAGCCGTCATTCCTCGCCGCTCGCTGTGAGGACGTTTGCTAGGCGGCAGCGGTCACCGTCGGCGGGGACCCAGGACGGCCGGGTGCTGCCCCTCGAGGAATCAGCCCTCGGGCACCAGGCTGGGAGGCCCACCCGGAGCAGGGAAAGGCACAGGGACGTTGGGGGTAAAACACACGGCACACCCGTAGGGCGAGCCCTGTGGCCACCGCTGAGGATCTATTTTTAGGAGTCGCCCTGAGGGAGGAAAGATCTGGGGGGGGGGGCGAGCCCCACAACGGGGTTCGTTCACGACGCCCAGGGCAGGCAGCCGGCTCTCCGAGCCCGTTTCCCATGCTCCCAACGGCCTCCCCGTGTTACTCAGTCATTTATTATCTACGCTCTGCATGAATCTGGGGAATTTCAGGAATTCCGAGCAGGCGGCCAAAGGAGATGTGTGTGTGCCCTGCGCACAGGGGGTGGGCAAGGCTGCACCGTGCCCGGGCAGAGATGGCACAGACACAGGCCAGGGCAAGGGGCCCTGGCGACAGGCTCACCCTGCCCTGCGTGTCACCCTGGAAAAGGTTCGGGGGACAAGGGGCAGAGCTCTTGCTGAGAATCTGAGAGCAAGGAACCACGGGCTCCGTGTGGCTACTTAGGTTTTAAGCCCGATCGTGGTCCGCAGCAGGCAGGGGGGCCCATCTCTGCGTCGCCTTGCAGGGGGCACCGGGGGTCAGGCGGCAAGCTGGGGGTCTCCCTCCTCCGGGGTTGCTCCCCAAGCTCTAACACGTCCAACCAGAATGCAGAGCCCAGATCCCGAGCTCGGACCAGTCCTACGGCCACGGGGATGCTCCGGGGCTCCCCACCCAACAGACAGGAAGGTGCCAGGAAATCAGGAAAGAAAACTCGCCATCCTCACCTGCTGTAGTGCATTCTGGGGGTTTTTTGCTTTTTGGGGTTTTTATGGATTTCAGAGAGAAGAAGGGAGAGGGGGAGAGAGAGAGAGAAACATCAATGATGAGAGTCATCGATCGGCTGCCTCCTGCACGCCCCCTGCTGGGGATCGATCCTGCAACCCGGGCCTGGGCCCTGACCGGGAATCGAACCCTGACCTTCTGGTTCTTGGGTCGATGCTCAACCACTGAGCCACGCCAGCTGGGCTGTAGTGTGTTCTTGGTTAATGATGGCAAATGAATGCCCCCAAGGGCCTCATCTTGGCAGGATGGGACAGACGGCCAGATGTGGGGGTGCACACGCACACGCACACACACGCACACACACGCACAGGCCACCTCTCCCGGAGCCTCCGTGCCGTCAGCAACAAGCCACCTGTCCGCCCCCCCTCTCCGGCAAGCTGTGTCCCGCCCGGCACAGAATCTGCCCGCCTTTTCTTGCCTTAGACTCTGGCTGCGGGGAGTTATTTCCCAGTCAGCGCGCACACAGACTTGCTCCTGACAGGCTGAGTCTGGCCTTAAGCGTTTTCTCCGCACGCCTGTCCCAGCCACCCCGGCTCCTCTGACGGCTGTGCTGTGGGGCCGGAGCTTAATCCCCGCGCACGGCAGAGTGAACACGAGCCGCCGCCTGGGTGGACAGGCCGCTCATTCCCAACATGTCAGATATACCCGGGACGTCCCCGTGAGGCCGCGACTTCACAGAGCATAGCACAGACGTGAGGACGGGCGGGACGCACGGAGACAGGCTCAGGGAGAGGATCGGCCGTGCACCGGGGAGCCTGACCCTAACCCTGGGCGATGCCGGGCACAGCCTCCTGCAAACGCCAGAGCCCAACCCTGGGCGATGCCGGGCACAGCCTCCTGCAAACGCCAGAGCCCGAGCCGCGCTGGGCTCAGCTTACAAGCAGTGATTTCTAACGCGCACCTCAGATCACCAGACCACAGCTCCGCTCCCAAAGCCCATAGCTGGTCGGCGCGTCCAACACTCAACTCGCTTCATCAAGAACTAGGTATCATATCTTATAAGAAGGGGACCTGTCTCATACGGGTCACATGTCCTCTGCGCGAAATCACCAGGAGTCACTCAAAATAAAAAATAAAGAAGAAAGAAAGACTTCTTCTGGGGGCACAACTTGTTAGCTATTAATTCTGGCGGGGTTTTCCTGAGCACTCGTGTGCGTGCAGAGTCGATGGTATAAGTGTATTCCTTCCTGCCTCCGTCTCCCCGTCCCTCCCTCCCCCGGAAGATTATAACAACACAACGGCCTGTCCGCATGTCACCGGTCGATTTTCACGCGCCTACCTGGTTTACGTGACTTCATCTCAGTACGCCGAGCCCAGAAACGGTTGGACGGCGGCTGTAACATCCATTCGGGGATCAAGCAACACATAGTCAGAATCTTGCAGAGCCTAAAATAAAACAGAACACACGTGATGACAAGAGGCTGTACAACTCCGGGCTCCGGCTTCGAACCAGCAGGTGCCCACTAGACCTTCACCTGGTTGCTAAATACGTGAGACACCTCCCTGTCGGCTCTTTGCAGCTGTGAACGTTGGCCTAGCTCACCCAGCGAGAGGCATCATGTGCCAAATCTTGATGTCAGTAGACAGCCCAGGAAGACGTAGAGAGCCTGTGTCACGCTCGCAGGACATTCCCGCACTCCTCGGTCTATTACTGTCACATTCTGTTTTGCTTTCTGTGCTGGGCAGTATTATTATTATTAAAATTCTGTGGCATTTGTGCTGCATCCGATCCCATTCATGCAATCACAGGGCAGGAGAACATGCCACCCCGAAATACGATGGGAGGAGCTCAGGGCGCACCGCCCGAAATACTCCACTTTGTTATATTGAATATTTTGAGCTGTAGACACGTGAAAAGCAGGACATGTCGGGGAGGCTTTCCCTTGTCAAGCAACGGCCGCTGGCGCCAATTCGACATGATACAGCTCGGCTGTGGGGTCTCCTTTGTGTTTCAGCTCAGCCAGGGAGAGGCGGCCTCCAGTCTTTGGTGGAAGCGAGCTCCTGAACCAGAGGGGCACTGGCTTATATAGACAGAAGTCCCCGCCCCGGTCTCAAATTGGTCTGTCCTAATGCAAATGAGGGCTCCAAATCCTCACCGTTGGATTGGTCCAAAAGTCACTGACTGTCCTGATTGGTCAGGATAGAGCTGCTCTTATTGGCCAGAGCGGTGCAGCTCCGGTTGGATGGGGAATGCCTCACTCCTATTGGTTGAAATAGGATTCCATGAACTGCTTTATAAGGTTTGCTTCCAGGGCAGGAGCACACAGCGGGGGGCAGTTCAGGGCAGGCTGCTCCCTGAAGCGTGGTTTGCATGGGAGGCCGCTGTGCAGAAACGGCTGCTAGGCTGTGTTTTTAAATTTGAGCCCCGTTAGCCACCGGAAGCCCTTTTTAGTAGGTGTCATTTTTTATTTTGTTTTTTCTTCAGGGGAAAAAACACCCTGAACCCCGTTTTGTCTGCCTACAGGCAGATCCTCCCAAAGGAGCTCCATTGTCGCGAATGCGCTCCCCAGAGTTGACTCTTGTCAGAGGAGAGGAGACACCGCATCCAGGCAAACTTGGCCGCAAATTACCGTACCTCTCTCCTATTTTTCTAAGGGCCCGTTCATCTTTCCTAAAAATCATTGGCTCCCCTACCCCTATTGTTGCCTACCTCCCCTTCCCCTATTACGACTCTGAATCCCAGGCCACCTCTTTGAGGGCCCCATTGTCGCTGGGTATCCCCCACGTAGACGCGAGCGAGGTAGACGTGTTAATAAACCGTGTTCTACTCTTGTTCATCTGTCTTTTATTACGGGGGCCTCAGAAGAGACCTGGGAAGGGAAGAGGGAAAATTATTTTTCCTGCACTAAACAATCCTTTATGTAACTGTAGGTAATTAATTTTTTTTTCTCCCCTAAAACGCTTTCACACAATTTCCTGGTGGTTACAGCATAATTACCTGAGACCCGGTTTGGAACATAATTTCTTACTTGTGAGGATGGAAACGTACGGTCATTAATTACTTTGTTTTCAGTGCTAATTGTCTCTGATGCTTGAGCTTGCTCTGCGCTTGTGGGTAAACTGCTCTTGCTTCAACCACTGGATACAATGTATACCTTTGCAGTTACTGCCGAAGGCTTGGGAAGAGCGCAACTTATTAATCTCAAAGCACAGCAATGTTTTGTAACAAGGTAACTAAGCCTCCATTCAGTGATGACTTGGCCAACACCAACTATGTGTTTGCGTTTTATCCTGAGGTTGATGGGAAGCTGTGGAGGGCTTTTAGGGGAGATTTGCTTTAGGCAAAAATCAATCTGTTGGCACTGTGAGTATATACAGGGCGTCCCCCCAAAATGTCTACACACTTGAACTTTTGAAAATGAAGTGTATTTCAATAAAAACTGCCTTTATAATTATTCAAAGCGTGTGTATACACTTTTGGGGGGACAGCCTGTAGTAGAGAGAGGGGCATGAGCGGAAGCAAGAGAGATTAGCGCAGTGGTTGCAGAATATACAGAAGGTTATATTGATACGTAAAAGAAATAAATTAGTAGGTGAGAGACAGATAAACAGATAGACACAGCTTTCCATAAGCAACTTGCTTCTTTCCTACTTACGGGTATTTGGGTATAAAATGTAAATGGCCTTTGTTACCCATCAACTGAGTAGAAACACTTAGTGGTTTTCTCTGGGTCCAACTGAAGCTAGTTTCAGCTAAATAGCAAACGGCCCTCTGAGAAACTCTACCATGGCTCAGAGGAAGAAACAATAAAAAGAAACAGACTTGTTTTAATTCAGAGTTCACCCCACTGGCACCCCCTTTTCTACTGTCCAATGGTGGGGTGCCAGATCGTGCTAGGTTTTCTGATTTTGTTTTTTAGGCTTCTATTAGTATAAATATCTTTGTATTCTTCCAGAAGCTAATTTGGAATTTTCACAAGTTGTGTGTGAGGCACAGGGCTCCTGGCAGTGTTTACAGAGCTGGGCGCTGCTTAGTTAATAATCTACATTGCTGATAAAGTGGAGAAATAATTTTCACACCAATCACAGATGCAAAACCAGGTGTGTCCTCTGAAAATTTAACCAGGTGACTGACTAAATTTTCTTCTACCATATTCTAGCCAAAATCCAGACTTAGAACTTTTCCTTCCCTACTCTGTCCTTAAAAGTGCTAAATAATGAATTTCAAACTCAAATATCCCTGTTGCCCCAAGGCAATCAGATTGGGGTAAGTCTGTATCCCCCGATATATTTACCTGATGGGAGAAAAGTCACGATTCTCATTAGAGGAAAAATAAAATAGCTGCTACACAAAGAATCCTTTTTTTTATAACCCTTACTCGAGGATATTTTTTCCATTGATTTTCAGAGAGAGAGAGGAGAGGAAAGAGAGAAACATCAATGTGAAAGAGACACATCGATTGGTTGCCTCCCCCACATGCCCTGACCAGGGCCAGCGACCCAGCCTACAACCGGGGTACGTGCCCTTGGCAGGAATCAAACCCAGAGCCCTTCAGTCCGCAGGTCAACACTGTAACCACAGAGCCAAACAGGCCAGGGCAACAAAGAATCCTTAACATCATTTCTTTCACATAACATTTAGTTACTATATTTAAAAAGTGGCCCCTGGAGGTGAGCAGACATACAATGTATCTGTTCTCCTGACTCCAGCCTGCAAACTCTAGGGGGGGAAAAAAAATCAGGTTCTTTCCTACTCTGCAATGTTTCAGCTCTCACCAGGCCTGCCTGCTTCCTCCCACTCCAACTTGATTTTCCTCTATTAGCTGAAGGATGCTCAGACAACATCCCATTAATTTTGCCGGACACTAAATTCCATCTAATTCAGCAGGCAGGCCTCTGTTAATTAGGCCTCCCGGCTCGAGGGATGGAAAGGCCGCCTCTCACTGTCACCGGTCGATAGGACTTGAGGGCGTCTGGCGGTCAATTACGCAGGCTTCTCGGTGAGAAAGGGGGTCCTATCCTCGCTAACAATCTATATGCACCTCAAATCACGGCTCACTGGCGCCTTGCCCACCGAGACCACGGGTTGCATACAAATAGCATCTCTCTCTGGCACCCTCCATCTCTGCCAGCGATGGCAAGAGCTGCCAGGGGAACATGCTCCCTGCCACCCCCGAAATGCGCTCCTTCCTCCAGCCTGGAGCCCCATGGATGGAGAGTCGGCTGCCTACACGGCCAGCGAGGATCTGCTGTCTGATCCCAGGGACACCAGTCGCACATGTTTGATGAGGCCCCCAGAGAATACATCTGGGAGCCTAATTTAATGTCATCCTGATTAAAGAGACAAGGATTTTTAAAGCCCACACTGTATCCTTCCCTTCCTGGTGGCCTCTCTTTGCAAAGAGCCCCACACACAATATCTCAGGGGCCCGATACCACCCACACACCCAGGATTCAAAAATTCAGCCCTTTGATACGCGTGGCCGACACCGGCTTGTCCCCAGACTTTGTCAGCCTGTCCCAGACCACAGTTCTGTACCAGACACTAGGCAACGAAATACCCTCATAATCTAAAGGGACTTTGGTGTCACCCTGACACTTGACACTTACAGAGCCATTTAGTGTTCGATGAGCACTGGCTGGAGTTGCTCAGTGGTTAGAGCATTGGCTTGAGCAACAAATGGTTGTGGGTTCGATTCCCGGTGAAGGGCGGGTACCTGGGTTGCAGGTTCAATCCCCAGCCCAGGTCCAGCTGCGTGTGGGAGGCAACCACTCGATGTGTCTCTCACATGGATGTTTCTCTCTCTCTCTCCTTCCCTCCCTCTCTTCGGTCCTCCCAGTCTCTCTAGAAATCAATGACAAAAAATATCCTTGGGTGAGAACCGACAAATATATGTATATATTTATTTCATTTTTCAGACTTCCTTCTGGTAAATGGAACTGGGACCGTCTTGGTGGCTGCTCCCTTCAGGACGATATTTTCCCATCCTCGGATTTAGCCCCTTTCACTCGTCTCTCCTCACACATACAAAAGGCAATTAGTTCCACCTTAGGAAGTTTTACAGATCAACGTGCCCAGTGGCATGGAGTGAGATTACAGCCCAGGACTTTCTAGTCTTTCATCAGAAAAGATTTCACCTCTTTACATTTTGATTCCCCACATCTTAAGAATTGAGTGGTGGAGCCATCCGTTAACTATAAAATATTTTAACACCTTTGTAAAACTGTAGGCATTGTCTTTATTAGAAAACCTATAAAAATTTCATAAACGGGAAATTAGAGCCGGCGGGAATGTAAATTTTCTTCTGTGTTATGATGTGCCTGCAGGAAATGACCCCTCTCTGCACAGAGCTCTATTGCACTGACGCCCTGATTTTAATGTCGGCAGAGGGGGGACAGAGCCACCCTCTGCCTGACATAACTGCCTCCCCAAATTGTCAGATGAG